TCTGACAGTGGCTGTTAATGTAGGTTCCATCGCGTCAGCGTCACTTTGACGCCATGTGGCGATGACATGTCGACCAGGCAGACGGTCACCACCAGCGCGTGGCTCTCCCAGGTTTGGGACTCCTCCCACTGACCCTGCTGTCATGCGATAGTTTGGGCATGTGCACGTGAGATGGCGCCACGCTGATTCACCCGCCCACTTCAGGTCGGCAGTGCCCGTTACGCTCGTCTCCGGCACTGGGGCACGCCAACGCTGCCGACTGACTGACCGCTTCTGGGCCAGTCCCAACGCTGCTGGCGGAGCCGGTCGCCACCAAACGATCACGGCGACCGGGTGATGTATGTCGGCCAGTGGGCCGAGACTGTGGAACTCGCTCCCAGTTGTAAGGCTATCGCTGAAAGCCAACAGATCCGTCCAGCTTTTGCGTTACTCCATGATCGGCGCAAACTCCCGAGGGCGTCAGCTATCGGCGTTGTTCAAAAAAGCACTAACGAGGCTTGCTCGTATGTTGTGTTGGACGTCGAAGCTGAAAGCATCGCGAAGCAGAAAACGTTCTGTTGAATTGCGTGGAATCTGTTTGTACCATCCAAAGATGCATTCGACATTATTTATCTGAGTCCCTTGCCGCATTGACCATTCGCTGCCGAGATTTTCCGTCGGAACCGGAGGGGCGGTGTGGTAAGGTTTTACAGACAGGGACGCATGAATGTTAGCAGGCGCCCGGGTGGCCGGCTAGATACCCTTTGCTCGGGCGGGAGGGGGTCAATTTGACCCCCCTCAGATCTCGGAAACTAAGAGAGATAATGGCACCAAAATTACAGGGTGTGCTGACCTGTATGTGAACTCACTTAGGTCAAAGTTTTAGGTACTTAGGTTATGACCTTGGGGTCAAATGAGGTCAAACAAAGTCGGATTCCAGGTTGGTGTCCAAAGTGCCCCCATAACCTAGATAACTGGTTCTAAGCAAAAGTTTGCATGCTCAGTTAAGGTTAGTGACATTGCTTGACCTTTTGAAGGTCATGGTGATCAAAATAATACAAGACGCATCTGGGTTTTGCATTTGAATAAGCAACAAAGATGACGCCAGGCAGTATGTTCCTAAAAAAAAAAATGCTGACCTGGATCATTTTGTTCAATGACCCAAACTGACCTCTAAGAAGTTCATGATAGATGTATAATGCAGTTCCTGCTATCAATAAAGTCAAAATGAGCACCAGAAACTATCCCATACAGCAAGCCCTAGCGTAATACGGCGGGTTGGTTTTGACCTTGGTCTTGGCCTTTATACCTGACCTTAGGTCAATGCAATTTGCTCATTCAATATTTGTGCTACCTAAGAAAGCATCTCAGAGAGGTATGGCTTCATCTAACATTCCATTGTTGCATCAGATTGAACGATTTCCCAGAAATTGAGTTCCCCGAAAGCATGGCTTGACTTTGAACTGCTGTAGGTCAGCAACCTTACAAAGTACATCTAAATTTTTATTTTTTTGTATTTCAACCTCCATCTTTACTCCCCCCCCCCCCTCCCGGTCACCAGTGTTACTTCCCCGAAAATGGTCCTGAAGTATACCCCATCCATTTTTTAAAAAAGGACTATGGTCATTTTCAAGGGCAAGATGATAGATTGCCACAGTTTATGGAAGCTGGGTGGTATATGACCATCTGAAGAAGTCTTATATACCAGTGATCAGGATTGTTATGTTCTGAAAGGCAGTGTGAGCATCAGTGAAATGGAGCTCCAAGTCATTCACAGCTGGCACTAAGGGACATTCTTTGGCAGCAGATTACAGTAAGCATCATGCTCTTGTTCGTCTCAGTAATTGCCAAAGACCATTAGAAATTGGCTGCTTGCAATTCTTAAATTTTTTAACTGGTGTAGGTGTACTTTCGTACCTAACGTTAGAAACAATCATTGCACACCATTCGTCGTGTTCAAGGCGGCACATACCGTAAATAATCTCAAAACAGGGTGTAGGTGTACTTTCCTGCCTACCGTTAGAAAAAATCATTGCACACCATTCGTCGTATTTAAGGCGGCACATATCGTAAATAATCTCAAAACAGGTAGAATCATGTTCCTACCTTCGAATTTCAATAACTTCGATCGCGGGCTCCCGAGCGCCGCGCGCACCGCACCGCATGGACTCCCCAGCGCAGTTTCTGCGTTGCCGTTGTGTAAATACAATATTTCTGCTTACCAAGAACTCTACAAAATGTACGGGACCAAGATAAACCATTCGTCGTGTTTAACGCAGAGCATATCGTAAATAATTTCAAAACAGATATATAAAAAATTGAAGGTAGGATCATGAATCTACCTGTTTTGTGATTATCTACAATATATCCCTGCCTTAAACACGACGAATGGTTTACCTTGGTCCCGTACATTTTGTAGAGTTCTTGGTAAGCAGAAATATTGCATTTACGCAACGGCAACGCAGAAACGGCGCTGGGGAGTCCAGGCGGTGCGGTGCGCGCGGCGCTCGGGAGCCCGCCATCGAAGTTATTGAAATTCGAAGGTAGGAGCATGATTCTACCTGTTTTGAGATTATTTATGATATGTCCTGCCTTAAACACGACGAATAGTGTACAATAGTTTTTTCTAACGTTAGGTAGGAAAGAACACCCTGACCCAAAACACGTAGAATCACGCTCCTACCTTCGAATTTCAGTAACTTCGATGGCGGGCTCCCGAGCGCCGCGCGCACCGCACCGCCTGGACTCCCCAGCGCCGTTTCTGCGTTGCCGTTGCGTAAATACAATATTTCTGCTTACCAAGAACTCTACAAAATGTATGGGACCAAGGTAAACCATTCGTCGTGTTTAAGGCGGAACATATCGTAAATAATTTCAAAACAGGTAGAATCATGCTCGTACCCTCGAATTTTCATAAACACGATAGCGAGCTCCCGAGCGCCGCACGCACCGCACCGCACCGCCTCGACTCCCAAGCGCCGTTTCTGCGTTGTTGCGTAAGCACAATATTTCTGCTTATCAAGAACCATAAAAAATGTACGGGACCAGGCTAACAGTAATGAAACAACCAAAATCGTTTCTTATCGAGTTTAGGTACGTTTATGAAACACACAGGCCAGAATAGTCCAGAACACATCCTAAATTAGCCTAACCTAACCTAACCTGAGAATACACCAGAACCTAACCTAACCTAACCTAACCTCCCCACCCTATATCCCCTTCAACCCAGCATCCCATTGGCGTCCATGTTCCATGCCATACACAGGTGCCATATAGTGAGCTTTTATTTAGCCGCCATGTTCTCATTTTGCTTTACATTCCCCACCCAATCTCCCTGCAACCCATCGTCCGGTTGGCGTCGAGGATCAAATTTCATGGATTCTTGTTACCTTGGCCTGTACATTTTTATGATTCTTGATGCTGCTTGATGCGCAGTAATGTGACCGCGCGCAGTAATGGCGCAGGTGCCGCGGGTGCTGCGTGTGTGCGGCGCTCGGGAGCTCGCCATCGTAATTATAAAAAATTTGAAGGCAAGAGCATGAATCTACTTGTTCTGTGATTATTTATGATATGTCCTGCCTTAAACACGACAAATGGTGTACAATGATTTTTTCTAACGTTAGGTAGGAAAGTACACCCTGACCTTTTAACTTCCTAAGTAAGTGTTTCCTGCCTAATTCCATGCTTGCACCTACTGTATTTTTTAAGCTATGGAGCTGATAGAAAGTTGCTGACATTTATGTATCATCATAAAGGTGCCAGTCCCAATGAATGCTGATAGAAGCAGATGCTTAAGATGTTGTACACCAGTTACACCATTCCCCAGAGCATATAATGCTAGGTTTATAACTGAAATGTCATGCAGGCCACAATGAAAATGGGAGTATCTGGGGCATAGTAGTTATTGCAGCTACATTCTAGCCAAGGTACAATCCTTCTAACCCTAGGCTTGTACTGACCTAGATGTACTTAATTTGGGAATAAGTGTGGATAAGATGACAGAAGGCACATTCTCACTGAGGAAATGAAGATGTTGGTGGAATAAGGAATATGCTATGAAGAATACGCCTTCCCTTCTCCAACTTCGAGGAAAAACCTGGTCAAAACCAGGGAGAACATGGCTGGCACCATTTGGTTGGGACAATATATTTCTCTGCTCACTCGCTCCACAAAATTATGTACAAAACTACACCACCAATGCTTTCCTCAGTGTATGACACTAAGCTAAATCTATACATTGACTTTTTCCACAATATCGACGAATCGCGCAACCACCACTACCCGTGGGGCTCCTACGAAACACGGCCGGTCGGCTACGTAACTGGCGCGCACGCAATAGCAGTCTTCAACGACAGAGTCGCTGCAGGTTATTTATCGGTTTTTGTGTTGCCTTTTAGGATCTTAATGATTTTGTAAAAAATATCGGTCAGCAATACCCGGATAAAATAAAAACTAGATTTCAAAAAACGTAAATAATTAAATAAACACATTAGCAAAAGTTATGCTCAACGGAGAACAAGAAACCCTGCTTTAGATTTATACTCAGTTCATGATTCTGCAGCGACACTGCGTAGATCGATAGAAAAATTCCATACTTTTGTTTAATGACCATTTTTGCATTTCATCACGTTTTCAGCTTGGATTTCTTGGTAGAGAATATGCCTTCTCTCCAAAGCTAAATCCTCCTCAACAGCCGGAGACACGCAAAGACGCCGTTTCCGCGTGACCAAGCGTGTTTGGGATGGGGTTTGACGTCACCAATTTAAGTTGTTTACAATACCCATTTTTGGTAGCTTCAAATACAAATTCGATTAATTGCTATATAAAAAACGAAAATTATATATCTTTCAATATATTAGAATTTTACTCTATATTTAGAGGTGCATGTAAGTATGACATCATATACTTTCGTATCAATTTTTCTTGTGTTACAATGATTTCAGCGCGCAATTCAGAAACGTTGGATCATGCCGTGTGTGAGGCATTCTCTACGCATCTCCCTCGCCCGTCAAGAGGCGCTGTCGTGTTGTGCGCGGGTTCGGATCGGGGGTTGTGGGCGCGCCGGTGGCGTTGGACGGCAGGTGGGTTAAACATGTGCTGATGAGCAGCAACAGACCTGGGTACTGAATGCATTGCAAGGAAAGATTGTGTGTGATATGGTAGAGATTCGGCTGTAACCCGCAATCAGTGTCCCTCGTTCAGTCTTGAGTGCTGTGCGCGATGCTGGTGAAGTCGCACGAACAGCTTGCCTTCATCTGACGTCGCTCACAGAGAACAATTTTTAAATTCTTTCCAGTGTATATTCATGGGGAACAAAATGTCTTGGGGTTAAAAACACTAAGACACAAGTTTCAGACACTGCCTTTCAATTGTAATGTTCTAGGTATAGACATGTGTAACACTCACTGCTTGCACCTCATGCCTATATCTACAGTGAACATTGACAAATGGTGGGTTAGGGGGAGCAGTTTGCAGCTGTCCCCACCACTTAGGCTTTGTTCTGACCCAACATCCTGAAGGTAAGGTCTGCCAATAAATTTTGTTTTCCTGGGCAGTTGCACCTCATCAGCAGTCATGGCAAGATAAACATGTCCATGTATACCACTGATCTATGATGTGCCCTTGTGTGTCAAGTAATAGGATTATACATGCTGCCAACATTTACGTCTCAAGCATTCCTCACTGTGTATGTAAGATACACACATGCCATGCTGCAGATGGCTCCTTGAGTTGAATGGCATTGGCTCATGTTTATTGGGGTTTAATGACAACCAGCAACCAGCATATTGGCTTCTGGAATCTTTGTGAAAATGAGGGCTTATTTCCTTGAATCAGTAATCATTGTATTAACCTTCTTTTGCAAAGGAACTTTTCATGCAAAGTGTTCCCACTCTGCTCTGTTACTCATGTGCTGAGTATATTGGATCTGGTACTTGGTGAGGCCTACACATTCAAGGAAAAGATGCACCTGAGAAATAATTTACAGTTGCTCAAAACAACTCATGTAGAAATGTAATGATTGAGTCTATGCCCTGTCATTGTTTTCCCCTGCCTGCTCTCAACCCGTGCACAAAACATGGGAGGCATGAATTTGATGTTTATTTTTTATTATGGATATTAAGCAGTACATAATATGATGAGTGCATCGGGGCATATGTGGACGCCTGGCTGGCAATGCCACCCGGTGGCGTGGCCTGTCCGCCGCCTGTGCCAGCTGGAGGTTTTTAGGCATATTGTTTGGGCTGAAAAAGAAATGTTTGGAAAATTTTTGCCATAATAATTTTTGATGTGACTTGGAGACCTGGATCCATTCCAATTGCTCAGCTGATTAGAACACCTGCCTTCTGATCCATGCACCTGTGGCACAGTGGGTTCTAGACACTCTAGGAGCTTGCTATTTGCTTGTGACTGGATTGATTATCTGCACCAAGCACCTGCACTATTTGTCTGCACCAAGCTGGTGGTAGGGGAAGCACTGAAGATCAGGTGATGTCAGAGTGCAGGACTGACATGCCAATCAGTCTGCAACATTAAACTTCTGTTCCCAAATTCTACTGTTGACCTGGGATTTCATGGTTGGCTGATGGGGCCCAGGGCTCACACAACAAGAACCACTTAGCATCGGGATATCCTAGGAATCCATCCATTCCAAAAATTTCAGACTGAATCATTTTTGACAATGGGAAGGCTCATCTGGGGTCAAAAGTTCAAAATTAACCTTGTGATTCCCACATCAGCATTTTGGGGATCCCCAAAACCCCATCCTGCCTGGAGCCCACTCAGTTAGAGTGCCCACCTCCCTGTCAGCGGGCGTAGCTTAGGCTCGCGTGTCCGTGATACTGGCCAACAAGTCACTGACGACGCTGCTGTTGTCCGCAAATATGCTGATTACTGCTGTTTTGGAGACATCCTCGGGGGCAAGTTGCTGGATCAGCTCATTTTTGGAATAGCGCATGATAAAATGCAAAGAATACAAATGGCAACGGTGTGGCTGATGAAATAAAATAAACTGTCTGAGAGGCGTCCAAGTTTCAGCGGCGCTCTTGCCATTTGTCACAAGTTGAGGCGTCAAGCTCAGAAGACCAAGTGACGATCAGTGACCATGCTTCCGAGATCAGCCAGACCCAGAGAGCACCAACTGGTTGTAGCTTGACCTGCTGACACGGCAGGTGATCGCACCATCAGTGCTACTATTGCTAGTGGAGAAAAATATTATTTTCATTTCTTTATGTCCAAGCCTTTTCGATGGATGTAATTCTGGGATCAGAGCCTGCGCAAAGCAGCAGTGTAGCCCTAATCGCACCATCCATTCGAGAAAGGCATGGCCAGCAGCATGATGTGATGGCTAAAGTTCAAGGTGTTGCTATACTCTGCACGTTCCGTCCAGCTCTCTGACGTCACTTGGTCACTGAAATAGCTGCTTTCACGTGTAAAGCGACTCGAAGCGTGTGGAGCTTGTAAAGCGACTCGAACCCACCCTGCCATGGGTCGGCGAGTTGAAATACAGGCGCACAACTGAGCGATCGGGACGGACCATTAATGTTAGTCATAATGCTCATCAGATGCCGCACTTTTAAAGGTTTAGTTTGAAGCCGAATCAGACCTTTGAGCTCATTTTAACAGGTCTGTGCCTATAAACGAACGAGACCTATATGTAGTTCTAATACCTATAAATAAGCGAGAACCTATAAATGGGCGCTTCGTAACACGTTATTGATTCCATGGGCCCGAGACCTGCTTGTGTAGTGCATTCCCAAGGTGTGAAGAGGCTTTACCTGAAGCGTCCCCGTTGCTGACAACGCCTTCTTTGTCATGCCAGGCCACGATCGTATCAAGTGGAGTCATGAAACCTAAGTGAAACGCACTTTTCAACGCCATTAACCGCAACAACTTTAATGCTAATGGTGGTAAGGATAAAATGTACCTGTAATGGTGGTGGGGCATCCAAGGCCAACGACATGTCAGGTTGCCTCTTAACCGCTTGTTTCCGAAAGTACGATCATCCACGATGCTGAGTATGGTGGGGAGATCTCGGCCGGGATTGAACAGAGCCGCTGAGAATGCGATATGGTCGTGTCACCACTGCTGCATGTATCCGCCCCCGTTACCTGGGCATGAATGGCCCATTCACGCCGGCGAGAAACATGCTTCATTTCGCCATGCTGGGTCATTTCCTATGCACCATTTCGCCATCAGGACTTGTTATGATGACCCATTGCTCTAAACTGTTTGTTATCACAATGATTAGCGATTCCAAAAAAGCTCCAATTTATGCGTTGCATGGCAGGCAAACCTCAGGTGCGGCAAAAAAAGGTGACGAGTTTTTGTGGAAACCTAACTAAATGCAGGGTGCCATCGGCAAGTGTTCCCGTCCCACTGAATGAGCCTGCAAAAGACATTCACCAGTAACACCCCGTCATCAACATCGCCAGCACCGCCAAAATCTGTCCTTCAAGGTTGTTACGTAACGTCATGATTAAATTCTTATGCCCGTCCATTACTTATTAATCATTAGCAATGGTTTGTTTTTAATTCAATTTTTTCGCAAGTGTTCGGACCAAATCTTAACAAAAGTCAGCAGGTAAATTCCAGACACAAGGCAAGGGATTTCCTGTAAATCATGGATCAGTGGACAGGATATGTAAGCGTGGAGGTAACTTTGGGCAGCTCCTGTACAGTTGCAGCCAAATGATATTCGTCCTACCACATTGCAGACATGTGAGGAGGACGAGATGGGGTCGCATGGCATGTCAGCCGAGCTGGACGCCTCGAGAATGGCACATGCCAACTACAGTGACGAGTCGCTCCGAGTCAAGGCTGCGTACCAGGGGTCAAAGCGGCAGCTCTGCTCCATCCGCCGCGAGACCAAGGTCCTGTTTGACAACAACAAGGTAGGTTGGCCGACCCACAGAATGATATTGTCGGGTGGCCAGAAGCCCTCGGACTTGGTGAAGTCTTCCGCGGTCCATTGTCTTCTGTGCCTGTGGGAGAACAAATATTGTCTGACCGATGCGAACGGCTGTCTTGATTTTGCTAACTCACCTGCTATGGGTGTGTTCGAGAAGCCATGGTCAGCCATGACTAGATGCCGTTGGTGGAAAATGTGCTGGTAGCAATTCTATCGAAGCTGTCTGCCGTTAGCCATGATTATCGGGTGCTCAACATTGACGCTATTTCCAACAACTGTTGGCTGGAACATCCGGGAGTGGTTTCAACGGCGACGATTGAGGTCAATGAGAACAGATGGTACAGGCTGAACCGCAATGAAGCAATTTCGCCTCGTTGATTTGCTTTGCGCTTGTTAACTTACGCTTTCAATCGTCACACTTTAGTTTTGGGGTACCTCGCCTGCCAGCATCATGCCCAGTATTGTGCACTGCATAAACTAGCATGCGGAACTGAACAATCATTCTTGTCAGTAACCGACCCGTGCCGAATATTGCGACCGAGCCTGGCCTAACCTTGGCGATCTACGTCCCTCAGGACGCGACGGACCAGACCGGGGAGGATTTCGGCAACGTCCACGATGAGGAGAAGGTACGCGGCCGTCCAATGGTGGAACGGCTGCAGCCAGACGCTACCATTCGTACCTCTGACGTCCGCACACCCGGGCCAATCTACAGTTGCTCATTCTTCTCCAATAATCAAGCCCTTACGCCCAGTTTGCTGTCTTCGGGCGGTTCACGTACTAGAGCCGTGTCCGCTACCCCACCCGGCACGACCCCGACCCCCCCCCCCCCCCCCAGGCTGCAGCCGAACGCTCCAGCAGACGGCGGACGCAATGGAATGCCTGCTCAATGAGACCAAGGACTACGTCGAAGCCAAGCGTTTCAAGAGACTAGAGCAGAACATCAACGAGTTGGAGATCGCTCTTGACACCGCCAGCAAGTCGATTGTCGGGGTACAGAAGGCGATCCGGCGCTACCAGCCCAAGATCGGCGAAACGACGGTGCGCCATGGAGAGGGAACTCTGGTTAAGGACCGGACTCCGGGCGCAGCTGGACGCCTCAGAGCGAGCCAGGAGCGCTCTTGGCGTCCAGCTAGAGGGGAGCAGGGTTCTGCCGGAGCGGGCCGACGGCAGCCGACGCCAGGTGAGCGCGAGGTCACGGGTCAGAGTGAGGTCACAGGGGATCAGCAAAAGTTGACTGGTAGATCTTCTCGTCGTCGCCAGAAGATCAAACTAGATGATGCAGAGCATCGGTTGTTTGAGGACCGAACCCACTGGACTTCAGGCAAGCAAGAGGTCAAATGAGGACTTGTTTTAGTGCGCTGAGAGAAGTGTTCACTGCTGTGAAGGCCAGGGAGGCTCATTTGTGTTAGCGTGTTGGCAGACATTTGTGATTTTTTAGATCACCAATTACATGATCTGGGCCCAGGGTCTCAAAGCTTGTTAAAAAGCGAGGTAACAAAATACGGCCAACTTTGGACACGGAACATGGGGAAGGGGAGGGGGAGGGAGCATATCAGCACAGTTTCTATGGGCCAAGGTGTTAAAATTAGCTACTGGCCGATTGTGTGGGACCAACTTCTCAGGACTTAGACGTACATTCGACATTTGCTCCTGCGTTAACGAAACTGACGGCTATGGTTGCTTTCGAGAAAACCAAATTGTCTCCAAGTCTTAAAGCGTCCCTCCCCAGTGGACATGATTCTCAGATGCATGATCAACTAGACGCAGGAATAGCTTTAGGGAAACTTGGTGGGTTGGTCACTGGTAATGATTATTATTGGAGTTTTATGGTGCGCCGACTACTTAGGTCATTTTGCACCCGTGGTCTGTTCATTGTATGACATGGATGAGTTCAATAATAGTGCAGGGACCCCAGTCATCGGACTATTAGGCCATCGGCTCACCGGCTGAAACAGTATGCGAAGGGTCCCGTTCGGTATTTGGGCCATTCCGTAGTTATGCTATGACCCGTTTGATTGGCGTTTCACACACCGCCTTTCATTGCCAGACGGCACCGATCAGCGAAAGAGGTCCTCTGATATTTGCTGTTCCGTTCAAGTTTCTGTTCTGTGAATGTGCCCATGGCCGCGTGGGGGCTCGTTGCCGACAAAGGATGCCCTGCTAGGCACCGTCCGCCCTGGCCGATACCGCTCGTCCCTCATTCTTTCAGGGTCCCCGAGTAATGCGAGAGGCCCTCACCTGACATTCGCGGGCCCTGATCTTGTTTGGACTTCAGCTGCTGTCCCTAATTATGATTTGTTGTATGCATGCATTGACGTGCTCGGCTATAGCGCTATTCTTGAGTGAGTTGAGACTCCCAGTGTTAGTTCCTTCGTAATTCGCACCACTTCTCAAACTCCGCCACGATATTGTACAAAACGTGATTCGTATTCGAAACTTGCGCAAGGAGCATTGCGTTGGATGAAGGGCCGACTGATGTCCGTTGATCCCAGAGATCGTGCTGGACTTACGTCATACACGAATAGCTCGATTAAAATATTGTTTGTGGCCTTGAGCGCTACATAGACGATGAGATGGCAGCATCCGCGTGACTTTTCTGTGGTATCATGCATGCCTGGGTGGCCTTAGTGTGTGGTCTGCATACGTTCTCGGGCGTCAATCTAAAAAGCCAGAGCTCTTCTATCTTAAAAACGGCATGGCTGTGAACTGCACCGAATCCTCGTCAAAATGGTCATTCCAATTCAAGACCCCATACAAATGTAGAACACTTATTTTAAGTAACACATCTACTGGTATGCATGTCACTATAAAGTAGCGTTTGGGATTGGCACAGCGGGCGGCAAAGGCCATCCACTGAAAAGAGCAGTGGTTAAAGTTGGAACTCGTGCGTCAATATAAACGATGTGACACTAGTGCCTGCTTTCGACGAGTGAGGACTACGAGTGACATTTTTCACACAGCTAGTTGGGCAGTACCGCAACGTCATACAAATGTTCCATGACGCGATCAAATAATGACCCAATGTGTAGGGTGCTTACCAAATGGGGAAATCGTGTTGTCTAGAGGAGTCTTTTCCACTTAATAGCACATGAATAGTTTGGTGAGTTTATCTCATCATCTGATGATTGCTTCAGTATCTTCAAATGTGGAGCTGCTGCCTTACCATGCAGACATTTTGTTTCTTACATTTGTATGTGAACTGATCCACCGACTCGTTGACTTGACCCAGCTGTAAGACTCCGATTCGTCGACTCAAATTCAACTCCGAGTCACAATGCAATTTTAAGGCCAAACTGTTTTTCCCGCCTCGACGAAAATATGCCCGATGTGGGAATTGATTCGGAGTCCCCTGTGATGAAATCCAGGTGCGCTTACCGCCATGTAGGTTCGTTCTGATGTTCACAAAAGACTGCCTACTTAACGATGTTTTTCTTGGCTGATTTAGATATTTTTCGACTCTTTCCTGCCTCCTCAGACGCTTTTTTCATGTTCTCGGGGCGTTCCACTTCTGCCATGCAAAGACGCAACCCGGTCACAGTATTCGAACGGGTTTTCAACACCACTGGCAGATGATCCGGCGCTTTCACCCAGAATGTCATGATTTGCGGTCAGTTCAATAGTTTGCCCGTGTATACGACAGCCACACTTCATTCATGATCACGCCACCTATGTAAGAGTTTGACTGCTTATCGATAGCCAGTATCTCGGTTCATGTGAACGCATACTCCTGAAACATATGGCTTGGCTTTCATGACTTTAAGTGCTTAAAAAATCAAATTTGTCTTTGTCAAAGGCCTAGACAAACCAGCAATACAGCATGAGGTTTCCATTTTCGATCAATTTCTGCGTTTTGAACGCAACTTTGCTGAGTGTGAATCAGCGTCTTTTAGATCTCCTTGTTTCCATGCTTAACTTCCTCTGTCATATTACAAGCTGACCTTATGCTGCATACTGAAAAGCTGGGATCACTGGCAAACGCAGTCGCCGACTTGTGTCCGTTAATGCACTTTGTGAAGCTCAACAAGGACTGAGCCGCTAATATCACCAATGCAAATCACTGGCGCGTCATAAAAAGCGTGATGATATGCGCTTCTCTTCAAGCGAGTATGTCACCTTTGTACACCTTTCACTTATCAGACGCACCCGATCCGGTAGACAATACCAGATTTCTTGAAATCCTTCTGAAGAACTCATAATTTCTTTTTGAAGTAGCCGCTCTATGAAAGCAATGCTTTTCGATTGCCCTACTTTTGCAGCATGTATTCTGAAGTGTTTGCAATGCGCATATTGATTAGAATCATAGTGTGACAAATGCTACGAAGGTTTCAAGCACTCTGTGCATAAAACAAACATCGGCAAACATGAGGCTGCTGTCACGCGAATTCGCCGAAACCTTTTACTGTAGGATTGACTGTATTTTACTGTATATATTACTGCATATATATATATATATACACATATATATTACTGCATATATTACTATATATATTGACTGGATTGTACTGTAGGATTACTGATCAGCTGGCCCTCAACCAATGCAATGCTCTTTGCGCAAGTTTCGAACGTGAATCACGTTTTGTTCTATATAATGGCAGAGTTTTGGGTGGTGGTGCGAGTCATGAAGGAATTAAGGCTGGGAGTCGAATAACTCCAGAATGGCGCTATAGCCGAGCTCGTCATTGCATGTAAAACAATATCAAATCACAACTCGGGGCAAAAGTGAAGTTAAACAAGACCGGGGCCCACGAATGTCAGTGGAGAACTCACTGCCACGCTTACGCGACGAACGTTGTCCTTGTCGAGTGTGCTGATCGGTGGAAATGCTGACCTGTCGCACATCGCCGTCGTCTGCGCCGCTGCGGTCCGCTGTACAGCGTGCTCGGTCGGTGCCGGCAGTGTCGCGTCGCTGGCTCCAGGCAGTGGACGACAGCCTGGCGCGCCGCCTCCACCTTGCCGGAGACGACATGCTGCACGTCAGCGATGAGCGCCTGGAGCGGCTGCTACGCCGCATACGGTCTGCGACGGCCCAGCACCCAACGTAGCTGGTCACCGATATCGCCGTTATCCGTTGACGCCGTCTGTAAGTGTTTTGTGCGTTTGTCAGTGTGAGTACGACAGACACCTCTAAGCGCTATCATTTAATGGCGTATACCTTAGTCGTGGTGTCATCGGACGGAGTCTGGGAGCGAGGGCAGAGGCGGCAGAATGCACAGTGGCGCGCCGACTGAAACTGAAACCCGTGTTTCGTTCCAGCCCGGCTCCTCGGACATCGAGTGGAAGTGGATTTGTTCCATTTCGGTGCGGACGCAAAACCTTTGAAGAGACTGGACACCCGGTGTGCTCAGCTGTAGCCCGTCACGCTGCCTCCTGGGTCTGCCGAGCGGTGCGCGGCGGTGCTGCTACGCCGCCCGCCGTCCCTGCGACGGTTGGACATGGCGGACAGTGGCGTGCGGGGAGAGTGTTTATCACTGCTCCCCGATTCATTGGAGGCTCTCTGGGCGGCCAGATGTGAAGATCTACAGCCGGCGTGCCTGCGTCAGCTGACCCGCTGTCCTCGCTCGCGGCAGCTGGACGTCGCAGGTGTGAGGGGGCTGCAGGCAGCAGACCCTGCGGCGGTGCTGGCCGGCTGTCCACAGCTGGAGCGGCTGCCGGCGAGGGATCTGCACCCGGGGTTGGAGCTCTGCCTGCCGCCGGCCGGCTTTCTCTACCTCCGATACCTGAACGTGACCGGGTCTGGTTCCGTCACTGACGTAACCCGGGGGGGGGGGGGGGCTGCTCGGCCTGCTGCCAGACCTGCACACTCAACGTGAGCGGTGAGCATACTCCATATCACGCAGATACCGTAGTCATTGCGGTCATGCATCCGAGACGATATATTCTGTTAACAATGCAGTTCGTGCATCGTAACTGATGACATTACATGGAGATTCATCGCCAACACCGACGAGTTCTTTGCATCCCAAGTTCGTTTGTGAGCGGGGGCCGGGGCTCTGGACTTGGAATGATGATAACCACTACGTGCACATTCGTACCTGACTGCCGACGTTGCTGGACCATACGGATGCCAGTTTAGATGCCAAGCTTTCAACAGCTGTCGATTATCACACACGTCGTTCTTACATTGTCAGGCATTTGTTAAACAAATCGTCTATGTTGTCAATATGCTACACAGGGGTAGTGTGGGGGACACGGAGTGCATGACTCAATGCTTACGGCGAATTCGTTACGTAGGTAACACCGAGCGATGATGGATAAGACGTAACATGTTCATATTTTGAGCACAACGTCACACTATCCCAGGTCATCAGGATGAATGTGTGAACAGCACCATGCTGCCAAATGAGGGCGTATTGCAAAGCTGCGACGCGTACCCGTGATGTGTTGAGATGGCGGGCTTTACGTTCCACCTTGTCTAGATCGCTTCGCAATGCCAATAGCGGCAGCACAGTGATAGTGCAATTGAAGTGACGCACTGGAGTCAGCTGTTCCATATCAGTACACGCTCCCAACTCCGCATACTGTGGCTCTGCCATGGAGTTGCGGAAGGCGGCTTGTTCACAGTCCCAGCGGTTCAGCTGCTGTTAATATTCTGACGTCATCTGTCGATGACGTGATAATGCTGATGCCTTGGACCCGGTCCACCTTGTGTGTTTCAGAGTGTCGCGGGTTGACAGCTATTGGCCTTAGCTGCCTGCCCCGGCTCAGGGAGCCGCGTGATCTTCACCTGTACGGGCTGGAGAATGTGACGGACGTCACACTGGACCGGCTGCACGGGTCCTGGCTGAGAGTGCTGGACCTGTCCCGATACGAGTCCTGTTCAGCAGATGGTGTCACGCGGCGAGCTCACCGGTGGGGACGTGACGAAGGCGATTGGATGGGGAACGTTGTAAACTGGGGGAGTTCCACGTGGCCTGGACATCCTGGGAGTCTTCTTGTTATTTTTTAGTTCGGTGTGCTTTCCGCATACCCGAGTCCAGCCGAGGCGGCTAATATGTGACCGATCGGTAGTCTAAGCTTAGCCAAAGACGGGACGGTGTTGTAGGCCAGTAAACTGCAGCCTGAATGAGCCAGGATGTGCCCACTTGTGCGTCCGCTCCCAGGGATGCCACGTGGTGCAAGCCCCATGTTTCCGAGGTGTTTCGGCTGTACCCGGCTCTGACGTCACGCCAGGCTCCTCGCTGCGTCATCCGTCTAGTAAGAGCCGGCTGCAGAGGGCGGCACCCGCTGTTACGGCGGGGTTAAGTCCGCAGGCTGACGTATGTTGACGCTGGCGAACAGTTGATGGGGTGCGCGACGTATCACAGAGCTCGTAGGTGGTGAGCCGTTCGTTTCTCTGTGAGCTGGCGTTCTGGGTTTGACACGTGCTTTGCTATGTTGCAGGCTGGTACTGGGCTCGGCATGATCCGGCTGACAGCGGTGAAGCAGTCGGGTCCGGCGAGATCCCCCGCGCATCAAGTGCGCCTGGCGCCGGTCGGGCCAGGACGGGCTGATTCGGATCGCGGTGTCGCTGGTGGAGGCGGCCTCACTCCCGGCCAAGCTGTGCCCGTCGTGCCGTATGCTGACCGACTTTTTGCGGCTGAAGGCCGGCGACATCGTGACGCGGCGCGATGCCAGCAGTAAGGTGGGCCAGGCTACAGCCGTGTCGAGTGCGCAGTGGCCGGTCGGTAGACGCGGTGCGGCCCGGGATGATATGGACGAGCTGCGCCAGTACCTGACCCGCCCGGGCGCCACCAGTTGGTCCGCATCTGCGACCGGTGCCGGGCCGTCAGCCGCACCACGCCCGGCGGCGGCCACGTCGGCGCCGGGCGGTTCCTCAGCTTTGACGGCCGGCTGGTGGCACAGTCGTCGGCTCCACGCCAAGGCAACCGAACAGCGCAAACGGTGGGGGGGGGGGGGGGGGGGGGAGGCGGCGGAGGAGGAGGCCGCGGTCACGCCGTCAGCCGCAGGACGCAGTTCGTCCGTTGGACAGCGGCCGGATCCCAGAGGCGCGGACCGCTCGGCGCGATGGGCCGCGATGAAGAACAGCAAGACGCGCCCCAGGACCAGCCGTGGTCCTCATGAGGGAGGGGCAGGAGGATTCTCCCAGATTATGAGCAGCCTGCGCATCTCCTGTCATTGGCACCGGCTGGTGTTCGCTGCCGGTAGTCAGGTGTTGTCACATCTCGACCAGCCCCAGCTGCTGCCAGCTGGGGTGTGGGCCCGGCCGGCACCTGGACCGGCCTGAACGCGACAGCGTAGCAGGGGCGGATCAGGCGAGGGCGGCGCCTGGTGCACAGCCGGCGCCCGCACAGCCGGCACCAGAGGCCTCAGCCGTGGGCGACGGAGCCGCGCCACCACTGGCTCGACCATCCCGAAGAAGTCTCGACGCGGGAGAATGTTATCCCGTGAGGGCTAGCAACGCTGGCAGTCCGCCCATCCTTGGTTATCCCACACACCGGCGACAGAGAAGCGCCCCATCGATGTTCCACACCGTCGGCTAGCGCCTGTCCTGAGGAGTTCGGCAGCCCCACCGCCAGGCCTCGGAGCCGGTGTGTGTCTGTGTCTCAGGGCGGAAGCACGGCACTCCAAGGAACCCAGCGGGACGGAGCGCGCGACTCGGACAAGGAGACCTTCGACGAACGGTTGGGCTGGTGTCCTGTTTCAGCACCACAGTGGTTAACCGACTTCTCACGCTGTGATAACAGCTATTGCAGCATTATCTTCCAATGGAAAGTAGGCATTCATTATATGGAAATCCGCTTCAATACCGCAAACAAGTCGGCATGCCTGTGGTTCACAGATAATCTTGATAATCTCTCTAACACAATGTGACGTACGGAAAATCGCTTGGAGACGGGAACCGTACTACTCACTGAACGGATCGGCTGCCGACCACTGCCTTGACACACCCGGTTCTCGGCGACGCGCTTCATTTTTGTCATTCTTGCATGCCTTGTGTGCCTCGTATCATCTCGAATGATCAATGCACAACACACCCGGCCGAGCTGCTTGGGTTGCAGGGGAAGTGCATGATGCAGGCATTCTGACTGATCGGCAAGCACGGCTCACTCGACCCGCACCCCGAAGGCCAGCCGGTGCACGTGGACGACGACACGGACGTGAGAGCCGAGAACCCCCACGCGATGAGGCAGCGGCGCAGAGGGGCGCGCAGCCGCGCCCAGTCCAACGACCACATCACCTAAGCTGACCATGTCCCGCCTAGTCTGCTTCAATTTGTACAATAGAGAAATGTGCGTGAGCCGAAAAACATCGGATATTTTCGAATAGCTGTGCGTTGGCTTCAGTGCAAAGAGAGGCGAATGTGTGCAATGTGGTCTGAAACCGGGTTCATCCTCATGTTTGTGTCGTCATAAAACTTCCCTATGATAGTTAACTTGTTAGCTATCTTATCGTGCTCCCAAGACCTTGCTATAACGACGAAACAAAAGCACTTCCAATGTGAACATCCATGTCGTGAAAACTAAGTGCGTGTGGGTGGGGTGGGGGGTCCGATTGCTGTGTGTGTATAAATGGCAGGTATAGGCAGGTTGTCTTCATGTAGCAAGCATCGCTCGAAGTACGTTTATGTTTTCTATATTCATACTCCTCCTTTTACGTGCATCGTTAGGTGCTCATGCGCACGTGTGGCGCTCACTTCAGGCTGTCGGTCCGTGGTAACCGCGCTTGAACCGCAATTTATTGATGCTGTGATCGCAGATACTTTTACGCGGATTCAACTGAGTGTTGAGGAATCGCCAATGAAATGTTCGGTGTGCTTTGTGAATACATGACGTTGATCACTGCAAATTCCTTCAGTAGGATAAAACGTGGCATGTATCTAGACCCCAGACCCCAGCTGCCTCGACAAGGATCAGTGGTTGACGGCCTGAAAAATGCATAAATGGTGCAAAGCGTCATTCGCTGATAAGTCATAGCAGGGGAGCATTGCAAACCTGCAAGGACAAGGTCACCCAACAATGGCAATGTTAACTTAGGGCGTTGATACAAATGTTTGGAAGGAAGCTGAACCTTACCTTATGGAAACACCAAGATCCATCTCCGAATGCGGCGAATAACCGTCCCATTCGTTACTCATTGTTCATTGCTTATCAAAAGTCTGCGAAGAGCCAATTTTAAGTCATAATAACCCGAATGTCACCACCCAACGCCCAGGAAGAGAAAGTCAAAACCTACCAAAACGGCTCCTAATGCCATAGCACCTTCCTGATAACATACAGCAACACTTAATTACATGCCCGACATTTCCAAACATTTCAACGAAATATTGGAAGGGTTTTTTGGACAAATGCCGAAGTTCTGTAATTAACGGAACACTACAATAAACGCCCGGACTCGCAGTTGTGTGGATAGGGGGTCATGTCCTCCCTTTCCTGTGGAAATAGGAACCCCTGTGACTGGACGCCTCAGTACATTTTGGGCGTTTAAGACGCTCCTAAGTTTCCTTAACATTAAAAACGTGTCCGGTAACCATCGCAATGGATCCTGATCTTAAAAATGCCCCTTGCATCCAGACCCCAATCCACATTCAGACTGGCTGGCGACCAAGGCCCTGGCGAGAATCCAACAACGCTTGATTGTCAGACACATTGAAACTTGACTTTGGGCCCCCGATGTTTACTAATATGAGAGCCTTGTTGTCTTGAGCAGTCCCCTCCACTTAAAACTGTGCCAATAGTTATAGGCAAGCTTAGTTCATCTTAAGTAATGCTCGCTTTAATGCATTGAAACGTGGAACATTCCCTTCGACTCAACTGACATTGTTGGCGCGTTCGGCCGAGGGATAATTATTCAACGAATAATTATCTCAACTAATATTAATTATCAAATGATATTGATTATTGGTTGAATAAATTATTCAACCAACAAACATCCACAGAAACTCCCCATTTACGGTCGGCAAGCTCGGAAATAAACTCATGGGTCCGTCTCCCGCGTGTCACGCACAGCCAACGATCATAGCTATTGCATAGCTAGGAAGGACTCTCCATCTTGCCCATGCTGTGAAAATATTACGGGGATTCTCCCTCAGAACGGAACGTTATCTAGGACCGATATCCGTGTTGGCAGTACCGAACGCCATTCCGGGAACTTTGCTAAGATTCTGTCTCTGGGTAATTTTCTGGCACAGTCTGTCGGTCAGGTGCCCCCTCGAATTCGCGGCCGGAGAGAACAGAATGCAAAAGCAAAAACAAAACAAAAAAGCAAACGTTGGCCTTGATTCATCGGAATGGCATTGAACCGTATGAAATGCGTCAGTAGCACGGGGTCATCATCGCAGCTTGAGAAACTGGTCGGTCTGGCGGCCCGTTAACGTTAGGCGGTGACGTTACAAAGTCGCACCAGCTTGCGCGGCGGCGTTGCATGGCAACGCCAACTGCGTCAATTGGAAAACAGCAGTCGCGCAGGAGTGTTGTGGTCTCATTTGATATCGTGCAGTGTGATATCAAGTCTGTGTTGATGCATGGCCTCGGTGCGTGCTGTTATGTCGCGGATGTAAGAAATTCGAAGTGGCGTGTGAGCTTCTGGCAAGTTAGCATCAAAGGCAGGTTTTTGCAGCAAGATGCCATCCTGTGCAGTGGCTTCCTGCAAGAGTACTAAACGGCACAGTAAAGGCATTTCGTTTTTTACGTTTCCAAAAAACGATCCAACTGTCTTAAAAACATGGGTTCACCGCTGCTCTAGGGCTGACGCCATAAATGTAGAAAATGCGGTAATCTGCTCGGCTCATTTTCAAGATCATGACTATGACCCTGGCTATCTGGTTAAGGCCAGTCTCATGCCCAGTGTAAAACCACGCCTGCGACCAAGTGCGGTTCCTTCAGTGCAACTGGACATCGCCGGCACGCCTAAGTGAATGTGCTCTGCTTGAAAAGAAAATGCCCGTCTGTTTTATGCAAAAAATTTTTAAAGCCCAATTCACCGTCACTAATGCGTGCATAATCTAAGCCGCTCTGTGCAGTTTGTTGATTTCAATTCAAGATTCAAACGAAACTTTTTAACCATAATCTTGTCTGCAAAGTGGGGTCTAACTACCACACAAGTGGCAGCGCCATCCATGGTACACGGGCGAAGGGGGTGAGGGTGAGGGGCGTAGCCGGTGCTTTGCGACGAGGAGGGGAGGGGGGGGGGAGGTCAAGTTTGTATGAGCGAGTCCTAATCCCGTTGACAGTACGTCTACGCACTGTGCACTTACTAACACACCCCACAACCGCGAAAAAGGGCAGTGCTCAGCGCATCAATGAGCTACCGATATTGGTTTGGCCCGGTGCTTTAGTTCGTTCAGCTGCGTACCGTACGTGTTCACTTATCAATGTGCAAGCCTCGTTGCTAATCAACCGGTTTTGCGCCTTTCGTCTTACTGTCCA